GCACTGCCTGGCCCAGCCTGGCTCTGGGGCCTCACCTGCCCGTTCTCCTACCTGTGTCTTCCAGCTCCTGAGAACATCAAACTTTTCTCACCTGTGGTCTCGCACCTGCCCTGCTGCTCTAGTTATTTCTCATGAGTGAGCTCTTAGCCCAATTTTTCCACCACAGAAAGGCCTTCTCAGCTACTCTAACAAAAGTAACCACCCCAACCCTACTTTCTTTTTACCATAGTTATTTCCATCTGAAATAATATTTTTGTTAGTGACTAGTTTATTCCTTTATCTGCCCAAATTCCAAAATAGCAGGACCTTGTCCTCTGGTTCACCATATATCCTCGGTGCTTAGAAAGGTACGTAGCACGGCCGGGCGCGGTGGCTCACGCCTGCCATCCTAGCACTCTGGGAGGCCGAGGCGGGAGGATCGCTCAAGGTCAGGAGTTCGAGACCAGCCTGAGCAAGAGCGAGACGCCGTCTCTACTAAAAACAGAAAGAAATTAATTGGCCAGCTAAAAATATATAGACAAAAAATTAGCCGGGCATGGTGGCGCGTGCCTGTTAGTCCCAGCTACTCGGGAGGCTGAGGCAGGAAGATCGCTTGAGCCCAGGAGTTTGAGGTTGCTGTGAGCTAGGCTGACGCCACCGCACATTAGCCTGGGCAACAGATTGAGACTGTCTCAAAAATAAATAAATAAATAAATAAAAGAGAAAGGTACCTAGCACATAGTAGACACTCAATAAACATTTGTTGAATGAATATCTGGGTGAATGAAGTGTCTGGAGGTAGCAAGATTCCCATCCCTGGGGGTATTTTTGTTTTGTTTTGTTTTTTTGAGACAGTCTCACTGTGTCGCCCGGGCTAGAGTGCCGTGGTTTCAGCCTAGCTCACAGCAACCTCCAACTCCTGGGCTCAAGCGATCCTCCTGCCTCAGCCTCCTCCCGAGCAGCTGGGACTACAGGCACGTGCCACCATGCCCGGCTAATTTTTTTCTATATATTTTTAGTTGGCCAATTAATTTCGTTCTATTTTTTAGTAGAGACGGGGGGGTCGGGGGGTCTCACTCTTGCTCAGGCTGGTCTTGAACTCCTGAGCTCAAATGATCCGCCGCCTCGGCCTCCCAGAGTGCTAGGATTACAGGCGTGAGCCACTGCGCCCGGCCTGTCACTGGTGGTATTGAAGCCTGGTTTGCACAGCCACTTGATGGGTTTGTCAAAAAGCAATGGGCACAGGCTCAGCCACAAGAATCAAAGACTGCTAAGGTCCCTTCTAGTCCTATGTGTCTATGATTGTATGGCCCCACACCTTTTTTCTTTTTCTTATGCAATGGGGAAAGCAAAGGCATATTCCTCACTCATTTTCCACCAAACGATAGTGTGCACACTCTTGCTCTTTGCTGCAGTATCATTTCAGCATTAAAATGTTGAAGCTAATCAGACATTTAATTTCAAAGTGGAAGGTCATTATCTTGTCACAAAATTTTATTCCAATTACTTTTTTTTTTCCCTATTATACGAAATGAATTAAAAGTAGCACAAAACATTGGGAGATCAAACAGTCAATCAGAAGCTCATTAAATATCATTGAAATTGGTGCAATAAAAAGCATTTCCCATGGTGGAGTTATTATTTAAAAGCTATCTATATACTGCATGGGCTCAAGGAATGGACAGGCTGCCAATCAAAAAATCACCCTGGCCATAAATAGTCACTTGGCTTTTTAAAAGTTCACTATCTTTTTTTTTTTTTTTAAGATAAGAGTAAATAGCTAAAAAGATTTAAAGCATGGGTGTAATTACCATCCTCTCTGCCCCTATGAGACCCCCGGAGAGAAGATATCGGCCAAGTCACCATCTGATTATTCATTAATAGACTATAATTTAAAGCAAAATGCTCCCAGAGTGCTACCAGTGAATTTATAAACACTTAAATACATTTACACACGACTCTCAGTTACACACAATCCCAGGTGGGGACTGCGGTCCGTTTCGATCTTAAAATTGCTTTCGACTCCACACTTGGGGCAATTGTCCATTTTGTTTTCGGAAGACTGATTATATTTGAGGACTTCGTTTCTCCGTGCACTCAGACATTGGTGACTACACCCATATGAGGGTCTAAAAGCTGATCATTTTAAAATTTCTAGTAGTTTTCTTTTGGAACCCTCTCCTCCCTTTTTTTCTTTTTTCTTTTTTTTTTTTTAGCTAAACCACTAATTCGAGCATTCAGTTCTATAGAAATGACCACTTTTTGATGTCAAGAGAACGACAGTTGGATTCAGTTGGTTAAAACATAATAACAGAGGCATCGTTCCCAGCCTCTGAAGGGGTTTAAGTGGTGAGCATGATGCCAATTAAAAATCCGTAGTAAGGCCGGGCGCGGCGGCTCACGCCTGTCATCCCGGCACTCTGGGAGGCGAGGCGGGAGGATCGCTCGAGGTCAGGAGTTCGAAACCAGCCTGAGCAAGAGCAAGACCCCGTCTCTGCTAAAAATAGAAAGAAATTAATTGACCAACTAAAAAATATATATATACAAAAAAAAAAAAATGAGCCGGGCATGGTGGCGCATGCCTGTAGTCCCAGCTACTCGGGAGGCTGAGGCAGGAGGATTGCTTGAGCCCAGGAGTCTGAGGTTGCTGTGAGCGAGGCTGACGCCACAGCACTCACTCCAGCCTGGGCAACAAAAGTGAGACTCTGTCTCAAAAAAAAAAAAAAAAAAAAAAAAAAAAAAATCCGTAGTAAGCAGAAGGGAAAGCCACCAGGTACAGGAAGTTACTTCTTCGGTGGAGGATTTCTCTCCCCTGAAAACTCTCCAAGCCTCCACCACCACCCCAGTTTCTTTCTGAAAGCCAGGACGTGTTGGTAAATTATCTGGGAGTGAAGAGGGAGGGAGACATTTCCATGCAAAACTCCGAACCGCTTTATGGAAGGAGAGCAGTGGGGAGGTTTGTCATCATCTATTTCCTCCGGGACGTCATCCCCTGTCAGCTGTCTCCTGTCTCAGAAGTGGCTGCCCCATTTCTCACTTCTGTGCCCAAGCAGCCTCTCCCTGGCATCTCATTCTCTCTGTCTCTCTCCCTCTCTCCCTGCCTCTCCCCTGCGTTTCATTACGGCTTAACTGCCCCTCTCTGTCTCGCCTCCCTTTTCTCCGGGCGGTCCACGCGTCCTCGTTTAGCGGTTTCCAGAAGCCAGGGAGAGACGCCGCAAATAATGTTAAATATGATTAATATCCTGAATTCCTTGAAATATGACATGCATGAGTTACAATGAAACCTCTTTTATTTCCCCATGAAATGCTTTTGCATAATGAGAAAGAAAATGTCCTCGGTGCCCTAATCAGGCCTGACAGTTCCTGGACTCCCAAATACTTTTATTTATGGCATTATTTATTTCATCTCTAATAAATGGATGCGGGGTGGGGGGTGGGTGTGGGTGCACAGAGCCGTCTCTGGGAGGCAGCGGGAGGAAGAGGGGGGGAGACAGACGAGCTAGGGGCGGAGGGACGTGGTGGAAGCTGAAGGAGCAAAGGAAAGAGAGAGAAAGCTTCCAAGAAAGGAGGGAGACCTGAGAAAGGAGAGGCCCCAGACTTGAACCCCCAGAAGAAGGAAGCAAGCTGCTTTCTCGAGACGGAAAGGGAAGATCTGAAAAGGAAGCAAACTTCAGAGCGTAGAGATGAGGGTCCTACCCCCTGCGACCCAGCGACCCAGAGCTCTGGCTTGGAGAAGGAAGAGCGGAGGCTGGGAACCAAAGCTGGGAGCCAGTCTGCTGGGATCGGAGCTGGCTAGAGGGGGAGGCAGGGTCTGAGATGGGGAGGATCAGACCCTCTGCCCCAGAGAGAGGCTGGGAGAGGCCAGGCCACCTGTGCCCCAAGGGGGACCCTCCGACAACCCGCTGAGACAGATCTTCTCTCATTCCAGCAACTACCCAAACTGCGAGCCCTCCGGAGACGCTCGCCAGGCCGCGCCAGTTGCAGTGAGTAGCGACGGGCAAGGAAGCGAGTTTTTACGCACACACGCACCATTGAAAGAAGTCACCATCCCAGAGGGAGGCGTTATAGGTCATTATTCCCTCAATTGCACAGCGCGCCTGGCTGCGATGAGAAGTTGAGCTTGGAATCCAAGTGACCCGGATGCGTCGGTGCAACTGTAGCCACCGACTGACTTTGGGCAATGCGTTCCCTTCGACCGCGCAGAGCCTCGGTTTTCCCATCTGTAGAATGGGGAGAAAGGAGGGTGCCGCGCGCTTCCTCGGGGCTCCTACGTGGAGCAGATGCAATAACGTCAGAGTTGGAAGCCCTGTGCGCTGCTATGGTCCGCGTGAGCTCGGAGGCCACACGAGCGAGACCCCCCCACCTCCACCCCCACCCCGGCGTCGCGCAAACACCAACCCCGGGCCAAGGCCTTCTTCGAGAGGGTCTTTTCAGAAGGTTGGGGGAGCAATGCTCTCCTGGCAGAAAAACTTGCCGTGACGCACACGTGCGCAATGGGGTGACCCTGTCCCCAACCACTGCCACCCCTCTCTGCGCAACCCCCGAGAGTTTGGGGTCACGCGGGGGGCGGGGGGCGCAGCCCGAGGAGCTGAAGTCTCTCAAGTCGGACCCCGCCCGCAAGCTGCAGGAGCCTCGAGTCCACGGAGCGGCGCCCCCGGGCCCTCCTCTGGCACCTGTCACCAGGGCGCGTTCCAGGTCCTCGCCCTCCTGCTCCCCCCCGCGTCCGAGGCGCAGACCCGGCGCCAGGCCCCGCCCCCGCCATCATTAGCGGAGATTACCCCAAACACTTGCTCTTTACCGCCTTTCTCCCTGCAGGCATTGGCGCGGCGGGCTGTCAATCAGCGCTCGGCGGCGGCCCCCCGCGCGGGGCTCGGCGATGCCAGCCTCGGCGACAGGCGGCGGCGGCGGCGCAGACACTCGGCCGCCCCGGGGCGCGCGCGGGGGCAGAGCCGGCGGCCTGGGAGCCCGGCGCCCGGCGGGGAGGGCGCGCGCCCGGGGGCCCCGGCCCGCGGCGCCGCCGGATGGAGGGCGAGATGCAGCCGGCCGAGGAGGGGCCGAGCGGCCCCAAGATCTACAAGCAGCGCGGCCCCTACAGCGTGCTCAAGACGTTCCCGGGCAAGAGGCCCGCGCTGGCCAAGCGCTTCGAGCGCCCCGCCCTGCTGGAGCCGCCGCCCGCGCGCCCGCCGCCCTTTGCGCCGCCCGCCGCGGCGCCCCTCGGCGGCAGCGAGCCTTCCCGGCGCCCGGCGCCCACCGCCGCGCGGCCGCCGCCGCCGCGCCTCGTCGTCGTCGGCCGTCCCGCGCGCCCCAGGCCACCTGCGGGCCCCGCGCCGCCGCCCGCGTCGCCCGCCGCGCCCTCGTCCTCGTCCTTCGCCGCCGTCGTCCGGTTCGGCCCAGGCCCGGCGGGCGCGGGCGCGGGCGGCGACGGCTCGAGCCTGGAGCTCAGCGCAGGTACCAACTCCGGGGCGCAACTTCGCTGCCCGCCGCGGCCGGGCGCGGGCTGGGGAGGGGGGGTGCCCGGGGAGGGCGAGCCGGGGCCACCGGCCGCGACAGCCGGGGTCGGGGCGCCCCGCGCGGACGCAACTTTGCGGGACCCGACGGCGCGCGCCTAACAGGTGGCTCCGCGGCGCCCGGGACGCGCGGCGGGCGGGCGGCGGGACCGCGCGGGCCGGGGCCGGGGTGGGGGCCGCGCCCTCGGGTGACAGTCACGGCCGCGCGGGGCGGCTCCTCTTACCCTTGGCTGCTTCACGCTTTCCCTCACGCTCCGTCCCTTCCCCTCCCGCGCTCCACTGCCGTGCCCCTGGCCCCCGCCTCTCCCCGGCTGCCCGTGCGCTCGCGCCGTCGCGTCCCCGCCGGTGGCTCTCGGGCCCTCCGGTCCCTCTCTCCGTGCGCCCGTGCTCCCTGCTCGCTCGCCGCCCTTCCCCACCCGAGCCCCGGTCCGAGGATGCGACGCCAGGCCCCTCCGCGCCAGCCTCGCCAGGGCCCCTGCTCGCCCCTGCGCTGTCTTCCCGCAGGGACGGCGACACCCCACCCTCCCCTGGCCCTGGAGCCGGGCGCGCTCGCCATGCTCCCACCGACCCCCGGCCCTGTCTGTGGGTGCCAACCACAGGCCTGGCCCCCGCGCGCACCTCGGCGCGCCCTGCGGAAGCGCCCACCCGAGGGGCCGGGGCTCCCCTCCCGTACCCCGAGTCTCCGAAGCCGGCCCTCGACTGCCCGTCTGCAGGGGGAGGAGACGACGGGCAGGTGCGCTCGGGGCACAGCCTGGGCCTGCGCCCAAGAGCGCAGCCACCACCGTTGTCGCTCGGTCTCAGCCAAAAGTTCCTGCTCAGGCCTTTGATGCCACTTTGGAGACCCTCTAGTTTCTGCGTGTCAGGGAGCCCCAGGCCCCTTTTGCCCCCCGAGGAAAGGAGAAGAGGCTCGTCTCTAAGTGAGTTAGAGGGGCCGCCCCCGCTAACACCCTGCTGTTTGCCAATATTTTGACACATGAAGGATTGGTTTGGAGGGAGAAAATCTAATCACAGGTTATGGCGAAGACTCGGTCTGTCAGATTCCTCCCTGATTCGTAGATGCTGGAAGCTTCTGAGTGGGGTTCTTCGGGGAGGGGGGCTTCCTTATTGGTGGTGGGGTGCGTTTTTTTCCAGTTGCTTCTTGGCCCAGTATTGCACTGTGTGTGTTTATAATCTTTGTTAGGCTGCTCCCCGACTTCATGCTCCCCCTTAGTTTTCTTGTCTTCCCCCTTCTTGATGGGGTTCGTGTGCTCTCTCTCCCTGCTGGGGGCTGGGGGTGTCTTATTTTCTCCCAAACTACTTCTTGTCCATGCCCGTGTTTGTTTATTCCCAGGCTTAGTTAGCTTTATCTCTGTTTGTTTGTTTTTGTTTTTTTTTTTTTATGTTGATTTCCAGCCCTCGCGTCCTTTCCCCATTTCCAATAATTTTGGTTACTCCTTTGCGTCACCCTCTGTTCGACCACTTTTCGCTGGGCTTTTTTCTTTCCCTTTATCTGCCGGGTGGTGCCTTTGCCCTCCTCTTGCTTTCTCCTCTCAGTCTTGCTGACTGTCTTCCAACCTTTCCTCCCCTTCACACGGGGTATAACTATGCTCCTCTCATGCCAGTTTGCACCCACCGTTTTGACCTTGCCCTGTCTGCTGTGTTGCTGCTTTTTTTTTTATTTGCACCAGGTAACTTGTTGCCTTTTCCTTGCCCCCCTCTGCCCTCCTCCTACTACGGCAGTTCTCTGCCGTCTTTCATTCACGTGGAGTTTTTTGTGTTTTTTTTCCCCCTCCTTTTCACCTTGTTCTAAATGTTCTCTTTCCCTGTTTCTTCTAATGTCCCGTTTATTTTGTCTCTGTGCCCAGGTGGACATTCTAACGTCACTGAATCTAAAGCAGTGGAAAGGGGTTTTGTGGATGCCCTTTCAAACTTCCCTATGTTTCCTTTTATTCTCAAGGCCTGCTTTAAAAAGAGAGAGAGAGAGAGAGAGAGATGATCGAGAGGGGTAAACTTGCTCACGCCAAGGGCTGGATGCCTAGCGCTGGTTGGGAAGATGGGAATTGGATTATGGGGTAAATAGTCTGGGGACAAAAAACAATAATGATAATAATAATAAATTGTAGACCTTGGACATCTTGCGCTGTGGTCATCGATATTAATCACTGATGGAGAAAGCCATCTCACAACAGGCACGGGGACGTGAGTGGCCGTCAGCGGGGCGGCCACCTGAAGAGCTGATTGGTTCTTTGAGAAACTAGTGGTGGCACTTGGAACCAATGAGCTGGTGTGCACAGACCCAGGGCTGTCGGCCTCAGCGCTGGGTGGGGCGGGGTGGGGCGCTTGGCCTGTTGCTTTGCTACCTTTGCCACCTTTGCCACCAAAGCACATTGTCTCGGGCCACCTGGTACACTGAGAATAGTCACAGCGTGGCTAGCCATGACCTGAGTCAAGGCTAGAAAAAGCAACTTCACTGAGCGTCCAGAATAAATTAGGCAGTGAGAAGATGAAAGGGACCGAAGCGAACCCTATTTGCCATGAAGGGCCACAAACCACCGAGAACAGAAACAGGTGATTAAAAATAGATTTTTTTTTCCCCCTAAGCATTCTTATAAAATCCTCATGTAAGAGTATAATTTTCCTTAAAAGGGGGTAAATACACCACGGTCTTTTAAAAGCGTATATTTTTTCCCCTCTGTGGGAGGCTTAGAGTTAAAACCCACGTAGATCTTGATATGCAGCCTAAATTTGGCATGAGGAAATGGGAAATTGCATCTTTAAGCAGAGTACAATCAAAAATGAATTACAATAAATCCTATATAATTGCATAGGTCATTCTCTTTAATGAGATTTTATTAACCTGACTGTCAAGCTTTTGAGTCAGGCAGATATTTTATCTTCTTCAACTGATAAAAGTGTCAGCCATAAACCACCATATAAATATTCATAAATCTACACATCTGTGGCAGCCTATCAGCATCATTCTTTTGGACATTAAAAGCATTCTAATTACTTTCTGTCTAGCAGAGCTGAAATGCTGCCTGTTATAGTATGTGCTTGGCAGGCATGATTGCTTTTGTTTGCCATCACAAATAGCAGCATCCTATTTTATATACCGATGGTCCAGAAAATATTCAGGGATTGACTGAGCAGGATGAATATTAGGAAGCACCATCTGGTTTTGATAGCACCGAGTATATTAACTCATCTGTTAATTTTTGACACATCATTGATTTATTTATTTAGAAAAATTGCATCCTGTTTCGCTGTGTTTATGTTTGCCATTATGGAAACAAAAAAAATTGGATGGCATTTAAAAAAAAAAAAAAGGCATAGTTCACTGGTTTCAGACAAGGGTGATGTTTTCAAAGATGCTTTCATTTTCTAACTCCTATTTTCTGTGTCATGAAGTCCTCTCTTAAAAAGAAGTGAAATTAAATGTTTTAAGGAAACCATCTATGTTGGAACTAGTTAGAAATCCATTGGTGGGGTATAATATATGGATAGATGATAGTAGGTCACTAGGAAAAAAAAAACTTCTGCTTCTGCATTTTTAATGTTAATATATTTCACCCTTCGCTGGGCTAAAATCAAAAGGTTACCGCTAATCTTGACTGCTGTGATCTCCTTCATAGAAACGGAATTCTCTTGGGGATGTGCTGTGATGGGCAAGTTCCATTCGAGGCTTCACTTACAAAGAAGGGCTACAAAGTAAGGGGACTGAGCTTGATTGCCTGCTTCCCATCCCTCTTCTGATTCACTTATCAGATTTAGGACGGATTAAGCCACTTAAATTCAGGAGAATCTCAAGAAATGAATTTTTTAATTAAAAAAATAATAATAATCATCATCACGGGTTTAGATTTTGGAATCGGACTAGGCAAAATTTGCAGCGTGATATGATATCTCCCAATGGGCTGCACAGCAGAGCAAAATAAATGAGAGAGAAGCGGTCATCTTGGAGTGCTTCGTGACCTACCAACAGTTGGTGGTGTTTCGTGTTAGAGAAGCTAGGGAGAAAGCAGACTGTTTTAAAACCCCTCCGTCAACTGCTGACTCTGTATTTCCCTGCCATCACTTGATTTGCCTCTTTGGCTCCAAAAAAACAAAAACAGAAAACAAAAAAAAACAGTTAAAAAATCAAAATAAATGTTAACCACTTCTCGATTAATCGGACAAGAGCCATTCAACCTTGTCGCGTATGAAAACAGAACTTTTCCCATTATTTGGACGGGCTCACACAGTACTGATCATTCTAATATATTCTGTCGAAAGCAAAGTATTGCTGGCTAAGACTGAGGTGTTCAGAAAGATTGCTGTCTTTCCACGCAAGTTAAACGGTAAGATTCATTAACCCCATATATCAATGTTAAAATACACTATCCAAATATTTCAAGATATTAAAAAGAGGGAAAAAAATTCAACCTTAAGGGTTACAGCTGCTACTTTGCAATTACCATCTGAGCAACAAATTCAGAAGAAGCATTAAAAACTGCAGCAAGAACTATTTAAGCAACATTGGCTCAATGTTCTGAGGTGTCTTTAATAATTAATCTTCATAAGTATATATTACAAATTCCACATGCTAGATTACCCTTCAATAAGAACAAACCAAACCACACTTGTCCCTAAGTCAGATATTTTTTTTTCCCCCCTTAAAAAAAATCTATGCTCTAATGTGATTTATCAAATGATGCACAATATGAGGTTTTGAGGCACAAGAACAAAGATAGTTGGTGTCGTTCCAGCGGCAATTTTATTAGTCTTCCATTTCGCCCTTTTTTCATCAAGGTTATGTTAAAGGTGTATGGGCTGTGGATCAATTGGGACTGTGCTGATTAAAATGCAAACAGTAAATACAACTCCAGGTCTTGAATGGGATTATAGATTAGAATGAATGGAAACTGCTCTTGTGCTAGAACTGAAAATTCCCAATCAATATCAGCCTTTGATTTCACTTTATAAAAGAATAAAAACCAAGATAAAAAAAAAAAAAAAAAAAATAAGAGTACAAGCTCTCGAAACTCCCTAGATGTTCAGCTGTTTAACTTGTCTCGTTATTTGGTTTTGGTGGTAGCAAAGCAATGACACCCCCCAAAAACTTGGGGGAACTGCAGGACAAGGGCAAGCAGGCGTCATATAGTATATATCAAATAATTTAAAAAGGATAAATGGAGCTAACAAACTGTCAAGAAAGATAGGTTTTCTCCATCTACCTTGACAAGTTTGGACTTCCCATGAAGCGTCATCTTCTGCCAGGATGGCCCCACTGACTTCGGTACGGATACCCCTAGTCTGGACTTCAGGGGTGGCACCGTGGCCTGTCCTTGGGCTGGTGGGTCCGGGAGGAGACCAGCCAGGTCCTCAAAGCAGACGGAGCAGGGGGGGCTCCTGGATCTCAGGTCCCCTCTGTGGCAAGAGCGTGGGTTGGGGGGTAGGATCGGGCAGGGGTGAGGTAGGTCCGAGTGCGGCCCTGCTCCTGCAGGAAGCAGGGAAATCCCACCCAAGGAGCAAAGGGTCCTGTGGACGCCCAGCCTGCCTAGGGCGGTCTTGCTGGCCCCTCCTGAGCCGAGCAAATCGGAAAACTCTCTAACCTGAGATTCTCCGTGTGCGTAGGCACAGGTCCCTGCCACGGCTGAGGGAGCGGTTCTCCAGGCCCAAGCTGGCCCTCTCACCCCGGTGTGGCTTGTCACCCCTCCTGGGCAGGAGCAATCTGGCTTCCCTGCTCCGACCTGCGGTCTACACGGGGGTCAGGGGCAGCAGCGTTCGATAGATTCCAGAGAGGTGAGGGCTGGTTCTCGCGTGCAGCGCTGCAGGCTGCAGGTGCATCTTCTTACTGAAAAGTTGGAAAAGAGCACCTGGACGCTTCTGCCCCCAATACCTTACCGTGCTTCCCCGAAAATAAGACCTACCCATGAAATAAGCCCCAGCAGGATTTCTAAGCATTTGTGCCGTAGAAGCCCTACCCCGAAAATAAGCCCTAGTGACAGGCGTGGCTATGAAAATAAGCCCTGCTGGTGGGCGTGGCTATGAAAATCAGCCCTAGTGATGGGCGTGGCTATGAAAATCAGCCCTAGTGATGGGCGTGGCTGCGCAGCGCATCTGCACAACCCATGCGTGTGGTCGCGGAGCGGGAAAGAACACGAGCAGCCCTTCTCATCCGCCCCGTGAGAGCTCTAGTGCTCCACAGGAGAGATCGGGGCCAGTGGTTCTAAAGGAAACAGAGTCGCAAGACATTCAGGATGGGATTCGGGGTCTGGAGAGTGAGGATGGTGTTCCAGAAGAAGACGACTTCACCCTATTTGAATCAAGGTAGATTGTTGTCCCATACTTAAAAACAATAACACACCCCCTGTAAATAAGCCCTAGGGTGTCTTCTCAAGGAAAAATAAATAGAAGACCCCGTCTCATTTTCGGGGAAACACGGTAGTCACTTCATGAAAGAACAGTCAGAAAACGGGAAACCGCGGAGCACTCACTGAGCTCGGCACGCAGGTCTCTCGGACTGCGGTCTCCTTGCTCCTGCGTCCTGGGGCTTCTCGAAGGCTCATCACTGCGTCTTTGTTGGCTCACCTTGCCCGTGAGCGCCTCGCCATTTTTTTTTTTTATTTCGAAAGTTTCTTTTTTTCTCCAGGAAAAAAAAAACAAAAAACGCAGCTGGTCCACATTTCCAGAGCGAGCTGGTGGCAAGTTGCACATCCGCTGTGGACCACAGTCGTTGACCTGCCATGGCCAGTGTTTTGCTTGTTGCCATGATTCTGGGTTGGTGGGGCAGGAAATAAAGGCACCCTCATGCCACTCCGTCAGCCCTGGGGAATTCTCCTCTCCTGTGTTTACAGCAGTCAGGAAAGCAGAGAGTCTGCCTCTTGACATTTACCTTTAGGGCGAGAATCTTCCAGACCCTCAGCCTGTGAAATCCCATTTCCACAATTTGGGTTTCTTTTTCTTCTTCTTTTTTTTTTGGTCCTTTCTCCTTTGTTTGTTTCTGCAGAGAGTTGATTGCTTTCTGTTTGCTCTTTGCTTTTCACTGCTTGAAGGTTGATATGCCTTCGAGTCCAGGGGTGTGGGCTGGGGGCTCTGTTGTTTTTTTTTTTGTTTTTTTTTGGAGACCGGGCAAGACCTGCTGCTGCTGCTGCTGCTGCTCCCAGGAGCCTGGTGCGGGTCAGCCGGAGCCTGGCCAGGACAGGACAGCCGAGTTCGCAGTTCGAGACGTGAGAGGCAAGAAGCGCGGGCACGGGCGGCAGACGGCTCGCACGGCTGTGTTAGACGGCTCGTCCTTTGCCTGTAGCCCTACTCTTTTGTTTTTCCCCCATTAGATTTCTAGGGAGCTCTTGGGGGAAAGACTTATCTCTTCTTCCCTGGTTTGCAGCAGGGACGGGATCGGCTGATTAATAGCAAGGGCGTGAGGGCGCTCCAGAAATAGCAGTAACGATTGCTCTAAGCCCTCCCGTCAAGGAGGAACGGAGTCTGCGGGCTGGCGTCGCCGTTAGGGCAGAGATATTAATGAAGCCCGAGGTGCGAGCTCAGGCTCCTGCAGGCCAGTTAATGCCACGGGGAAGGGGTCGGGGGATCCCTGTACGATGACGCCCATAGTCGCGGTCCAGCCGTTTCTTAGCGTAAGGGACCAGGGCAGCCCCCCACCCCCCCAAGTTGCAGGACAGCAGGGAGCTGCGAGTTCTATGGACGGTGGAGTCTCCGCGTCGGTCTTGGTTCAGGACGGGGAGTAGAAACGCACACGTTTTTGTTTTTGTTTTTTAACGCATTCGAGTGTTAAAAAATCTCGGCCCTGGTTCACCCCTTGCCTTTGGCTTGTGGGTGACGGGCGTGCCCTCTTGTTTGTGTTCCAGAGAGCCGGATGATCCTGGACGCCTTCGCCCAGCAGTGCAGCCGGGTCCTCAGCCTCCTAAACTGCGGAGGGAAGCTTCTGGACTCCAGCCACCCTCCATCTCTGGTGTCTTGTGTCAAGCAGGAAGGCTCAGGCTACGGCGAAAGGCAGGAGCAGCAGCACTGCCACCTGGGGAAAGGGCTGCACAGCCAGAGCCCGGACGGCCCGGACGCGGAGATGCAATACGTGCAAAGGAAGCAGAGGACTTCCGCCTTCCTGAGGGTTTTCACCGACTCTCTGCAGAGCTACCTGCTCTCGGGGAGCTTCCCGGCCCCCAGCGCCTCCTCGGCCGGCGAGTACGGCCACCTGGCCGACGTGGACCCTCTCTCCACCTCCCCCGTGCACACCCTCGGGGGCTGGGCCTCCCCGGCAACCTCTGAGTCCCACGGCCACCCGTCCTCGTCTACGCTGCCGGAGGAGGAGGAAGAGGAGGAGGAGGAGGAGGAGGAAGGCTACTGTCCCCGGTGCCAGGAGCTGGAGCAGGAGGTCATTTCCCTGCAGCAAGAGAATGAAGAGCTCAGAAGGAAACTGGAGAGCATCCCAGGTACCCTGCCCGCCGCCGAGGCGCTGCTTGCAAGACAGCCGCGGCGGCGCCCGTTCCTTTCGGTTGCGTGAGGCGTCTGCGTGTCTGCACTTAGCGTGTGCGTAGATGTGTGTGCATGGGTTTTTTTTGGTTTTTGTTTTTTTTTCAGGCAGCGAGATGCAGAAAAAGCTGAAAAACAGGTGTGCACAAAAAAGGTCCTTGGCCTGCCCAGGGCCGGACAGAAATGTCAGGCTGGGCGGCCGGCCGGCCCTGTTTGATCGAGCTCCAGTGCTCTTGGGTCTGGGCGTGAGGCGCCGGTCCCACGGGGAGGTGTCTCTGGCAACGTAAAGGTGATTCCCAGGCGTGGCCCAGTGACATCCAAACAGGTGCAGAGCGACAGGCTCGAGTTCCCTTCGGAAAGTGGTCTCGTGCCTTTGACGGGCTTCCGTGTTTTCGAACCCTTGATGCACAGGTTGTATTAGTCAGTGGCAGAAATTAAAATGAAACGGCACTTTCGGAGGCAGGACTCAGGCAGTGCTGAGCGCGTGGACGGTCTCCTCCGTTCCACTAATTTCCCTCGCCGTTCTTGTTAAGTTTCTCAACAGGTGTAGCCCCTCTTTAAGCCTGCAGATTCCCCTTTAAAGTTATTAGGAACCTATAAACTAGGGCGGGCGTGGGGTGGCTCACGCCTGTCATCCTAGCACTCTGGGAGGCCGAGGCGGGAGGGATCCGCTGCAAGGGTTCCAGGAGTTCCGAGACCAGCCTGAGCAAAGAGTGAGACCCCTCTCTACTAAAAAAGAAATAAAATAGAAAGAATTAATGGGCCAATAAAAATATAGAGAAAAAAGAGCCCGCGGCATGGGTGGCCACGTCCTGTAATCCAGCATCTGGGAGGCCGAGGCTGGAGGATCTGCTGCCGAGGTCCAGCCGAGTTCCAGAAACCAGCCTGAGCAAGAGTCGAGACCGGCTGTCTCGTACTAATAAATAGAAAAATTAATGGGCCACTAAATATACATAGGAAAAAATGAGCGGCCATGTGGCAGTGCATGCTGCTAGTCCAAGCACTCTGGGAGGCGCAGGCGAGGAGGATCGCTCAAGGTCAGGAGTTCGAAACCAGCCTGAGCAAGAGCGAGACCCCGTCTCTACTATAAATAGAAAGAAATTAATTGGCAACTAATATACATAGAAAAAAATGAGCCGGGCATGGTGGCGCATGCCTGTAGTCCCAGCTTACTTCGGGAGTGTGAAGGCAGGAGGACTCGCTTGAGCCGCAGGAGTTTGAAGGTCTTGCTGTGAGCTAGGCTGACGCCACGGCACTCACTCTAGCCGAGGGCAACTGAATGAGACTCTGTCTCAAAAAAAAAAAAAAAAATGACTGCCAAATCAGAAGTTAATCTTCTTGTCGTCCTTTCCTTTAAAAGAACTGCCAAAAGAGAGCCCAGGTTGGGGTGAGAACGTTTTGGAATTGGATCAAGCCTGGCTGTCTGGTGCACGAGGAGAAGCCGGAGTGGCGACAGCTCCATTGTCTCAGTCTTGGCGCCCTGGGCTGGGAGGCTGCGGCTTTTCCCCCCTGGCACACCCTGGAGGGACACAGGGGAGCCAGGGCGCCAGGCCTGGCTGGTCGCTCGAGTCAGAGAGGCAGGTGCAGGTGCACGCTGGGACTCACGGCTCTGCAGCCCACGGTCCGCTCGCCCTGGCTTTGCCTCCAAGGGGCATTTCCTGCACTTCCTCCCGATCCTCTTCAATCTCTGGGGAGAAAATAGCAACCTAGAGGCCACCCAGCCCCAGAGACTCACGTCAGCCCCTCGGAACCACGAGCACAGGAGCCCAGCGCTGGAGTGCTCGCTCAGCAGTGCTCCTCGGTCTCGTCTTGGCCGGGAGTTGCAGGCTGCAAAGGCAGGGGGGCACGAATGTCCAGGTGGACATTCTGCCTGATTCCCGGTCCTAAATCTTTGGCACGCTGGGTGTCCTTGCTGTGTCCCCGAGCAGAGTGTGTGTGGGGGGTTCGGTCTGCCTCCCTTTTCCCCCGCACCTGTCCCGGGGGTCAGGTGTCCCTTCTCCGCGACACCCCGCCTTGTCCCGCCACCGCTCACCGTCCCTGCCTCCCAGGGAGAGACAGAGAAGCCGCCGTCTCTCGAGCCCCCCCAGACGATCCGACATTGAAGGACTGTTTAGGCCCGGATTAGGCTGGTGGCCACTGCCGTCACTGTAAAATTCCCCCGCCCTGTTGACGGTCCCTTCCACGGACCCGAACCCATAGCCATGTCGCAACGGAGAACCACGGCCGCGTAGAGAAATACCGGCGGGAACCCAAAGCCGGCGTATCCGTGGTGGGTAGGAAAAAACTCACAGGAAACGGAGGGAGTATTGGCAGATCTGTGCTTAAGCAGAGTACGCTGGGCTGGGCGGCGGTGGCTCACGCCTGTGAATCGTGCTCTCTGGGGAGGCAGAGGCGGGCGGATTGCTCGAGTCGGGAGTTCCGAACCAGCCTGAGTAAGAGCAGAGACCCCGTCTCTACTATAAATTAGAAAGAAATAATTGGCCAACTAATATATATAGAAAAAATTAGCCGGGCATGGCTGGCGTGTGGGCGCATGTCTGTAGTCCTTAGCTATGTTGGGAGGGCTGGCAGAGGAGGATGCGCTTGAGCCCAGGGGTTGCGAGGTTGCTGTGTGAGCTAGGTGTGCCCCAGGCACTCCTTCTGCCTGTGGCAACAAGCGAGACTCCTGTCTCAAAAAAAAAAAAAAAGAGTCACTGCCCGGTGACGGAGGGGCACGTGGGTTGGAAATGCGCACCCGGCAGGGGGAGGAGAGTGGCCAAGAGAACCGCCGTTGCCCTCCTGCCCTCACCGAGGCCCCCTGCCAGCCCTCTCTCTCTCTCTCTCTCTCTCTCTCTCTCTCGTTTTCTTTTTTTGTTTTTTTTTTTCAGAGTCGCCTGCGGGTGTCCGCAGTTCAGAGTCTCACCCCAGTGGAGGACAGCAGCTTCGCGGGTTTCTTTTCTGGTGGGTCAGCGTCACATGAGAAAACAGTGAGGAAGTCTGTTTAAAAAGTGACATTATTTTTTTTTTTAAGAGAGAGTGAAAATAGGTTAAAAGGAAAAAAAAAAAAAAACAAAAAGCCACAAGAGGACAGACACTAGGGGACCAGGAACAGGAAGGGCTGAGAGGCTGGGGGAAGGAGGAAGAGGGCGGGCAGCGTTTCTCTGTGCAGGGGGAAATCTGGGCCCGCCTCAGAGGGACAGTCCGCGTTTATCTGGAAGCTGCCTGTGGCCGGCACTCGGTCCGGAGAACCGGCCGAGGAGGGCGGAGAGAAAACACCAGATTCCATCCCACCCGAGACGCCGGTGGACGTTCGGCACACGGCCGACTCTCTCTGTTTCCGCCGAAGAAGGAGAACTCGCAACATGGCACGTGACAAATTCATCTTTTAAGCGCGAGAAGTCAGTGATACCTGAACTACGCG